TTAAAAATGGAATGACAAGATATATATGTGTCCACAATTATTATTAGCTGCTGGAATATTTTTATATACAGCAACAGTAGAACATGATTTTAGCACAATGAATAGAATATTAACTGATCTACGAAATCGTTTAACAATAGAACATGTAGAACAATTAATGAGAATATTAGTAGAAGGATCATCTGATTTAAACAATGATCTAAAAGATTTAATTATTGATTATGAGAAAAGTAAAAAATTCCGGTTTAATTTAGATTTATTGTTTTCTTTTCAACGTGTTTTTTCACACTGTATTGGTAACCGAAGAAAAAGTGTAATGGTGTTGTGAAAAAAAAAGAGTCTGTATGTCTTTACTATATGGCAAAAAATTTTTTACCTAGCAGCCCCTTCAAATATTTCAACCACCCACCCGAAAAGCGAAATCCAGATAAAACACTGATCATAATACCACTTTCTGAATGAGATGTTTCATTTAATTTGAAGACATATCGTTCTGAACATAAGTAGTTGTCCTTCATAAAGTGCTACTATTCTTTTATGGTATTGAGCTGGGATGCATGTGTGCAACAACAAATCCTAATCGGAAACACCAACTCACTTTCTGTCGGCTAACATGTACTGAAGTAATGATTCAGACATCATCTTATCTCAAACATGGTGGGACAAACATTTTCATTCAGCTTCTCATTCGAAAGCTCAATAATGTAATTATCCTCTACTCCGAATGTTTTTTAGATAACTGAGATATGGTCTTTTCATTAGAGGTGTAAGCCATACATACGCGATCGAACATTTTTTCATCAGTTGAGTTTCTAACCACGGGAAATTTTTTTTTCTCAAAAGAATACTTCAATTTTAAACTTAGCAGTCGTCGTTCGATTTTTCAGCTTACACCTCTACTTCTCATTAAGAATGTCTGTTGAAGATCAAATTCTTGGATAGATCTTTTTCACGATGACTTTGATCGATTCATTTGAAAAGTTTAATAGAAAATTCCCGTGAAACAATGAATCTGTTCTGAAAGTTGAGTTAGTGCTACGACATCCGTGTGCACTTATTAGTAAGATCTTCACTATATGTCACGGGCTTTGATGATAATAGATTCATCGTACATGTTTGAAAACTAAACAATTTCTTTTTTTTTGTGTGAAACGCGATTTAAAAGAATTGTTGAAGTATAGGGGTAGAAATTTGAATCCCTACTACGCACTTTAATCTTCTTTAGGAATGTCTCTTCTCCATCATAGAGTTTAATAAATTGCGCTAACCGATTTTTTTTTTGTTTGTTAATTTTATTTCATTTACTAGAAAATATTTATCTTACTTCAACAACCATGGAATGTCCCGTATAAATTGATAAAGCATCTAAATTTTT